GGGTGCTAGGAGCATTGCAAGAATCATTTCCCAAGATACGATGACTAACGAGCAACCGTTTAAGCACTTAAACGATTGTTCCGGCGAACGTGAACAAAGACAGAACACAGAGGAAGTTTTTCAGAGGTAGATGCATATGTTTTTAGCTATGAAATACGTGAAGGAAGTGTTGTGCGTATGTGAGTTGTCTTTCGTTGTAAATCACCTTCCAGCTACTTATAGGAAGGATTAAGAGTTGTGTTAATGAAGGTTTAATGGACATGAACGTTGGCAATCAATGTCCAGCACGTTGGCATTGATTCTCGTCCAGAAAACCGTCTGTTTAATTGCAATAAGTCACAAGAACGTTGGGCATTTAATGTGTTGTAACACCTCAGCAGCAGGCTGCTTTTGGCCGTTCAACACCCATGGAGTAGTAGCCTATTGCGCAGGGAACTGCTGGAGCAGTAGCCTCCTGCGGAGCAGCCTGCTCCAACCTGGAGCAAAAATAGGAACTTTACGGAGGAACAAAAATCAACGTTTATCTTTAGAAGATAGAATTTTCGGACAACATTCGTGTCCGCAGGTCGCCCGCACACACAAGTCGGGCTTTTTGTTCTCCGGTTTCGGGATTTGATTCGCACCCCCGCTGCGCGCGTGGAGAGAGCCTTTACCCTAAGGAATCTTAACTCCTTAAGGAGGGGTTTCCCTTTATAAAGGGTTCAAATTCCATTGGGTTTTCCAGTGTGGGAAAAACCACACTAGAAACCCATCATTTTTCCTAGTTTTCACCATTTCAACGAGTGAACTTCGAGAATCAATTTCTCATTCACCCGTTATCCGTTTTGAGTGTACCATATATCAAATTGTAGCCCTAGCAAGGAAAATCTGAAACCACTTTGACCCGAACCAAATCGGAAGTGGAGCCCACTCAAAAATTGCCCCAAGATGACCATTTATTGCAATTTACTAACACATTTGCCCAACAATTAGATGCCACATAAGTGAGGACTTTACTTGAGTTTGTCAAGATATTAATAGGGGAGTTATCTAGTCACTCGCAAATTGTGTAGGCGGGTCTCCCAAGTGTGGATCTAAACTCCAATGGAACAATCACATATTAGGGTAGTTGTGTTGTGTCAATGGAGCTATAGAAGGAGAGACACATTAATGATCATCTGACAAGAAGTTAGGTAGAATCAAAATAGAACACTGGTGAGTGCCGAGTGAAATATCACTTGATTGTGGGTTCAAAGTTTCCCATCACATTTATCTTCATGAGACTATAATCACTACATGTTATCTAATTTTGTTTGCAAGCATCTTGATGTAGCTTTCAGAGGTTGTGTTCTTACACAAGATCAATTGCTTGTCAAAATGAATTTGATCATAGACGGCTTCAAACCTCGATGAGACACGTCAATTTGAATTTCTGAGATGATGAAGAAGGGCGATATCACTATATTAGGGTAGTGGGGAATATAATTTGTTTGTCAATTTGCTTCTCAATCACTATTTATGAGACACACCAGATAACCTTTCGCTTCGAGTTGTTTAGGTATACCATGTCGGCAACTTAGGGGGGTACGATTATGGATATTAGGTTATAATGATGACATCATTCTTGCTTTTATAGTGAAATTAATGTGAGTGGTGTGTATGCTAGTCGTCAAATATATACATTTGCAGGTCCCGCTAACACCGAGAGAGTTATAAATTCAAATACACAATTTACGTTGGAGTTTGTGATGGCCAAGGTAGCAGGGGGCATTTGTGATTATGTTGGAGTTTTTAGTGCATAGACGGAAGGATGCTTGTAGATTCCCGAAGAGCGTATATGTGAATTAATGTAGGGAAAAGTACAGAAAAAGTACACGTGGTTTGGGCCGTTTTCAGATAGGGGCACGTATTTCATTTTTTAACAAAGTGGGACATGTGTTTCAATTCCGTTATCATAGCAGGGGAATGGCGTCTAACGCCGTTAGAAAATCTAACCCCGGTTTTCAAAAGTCTCTGAAACATTAAAAGAAAAATACTGGGAGGTGCGCCTTATCAAGGAGACCAACAAACTATACTAGGGGAGGACGTCATCAATTGTAATTTAAGAACGTGCAAGCATCGATGGATTTCATACGGCGGTGGTTTTCTTTTGCTTCATCAGTCTTCTCCTCGGAACACCTATACTCCAACGTACTACCGCTGGAGTAGAGAAATGCCACTAATGGAAGTGATTTATGTTGGTGTGAGCATCGACAAAGTGGTGGAGAATCAATAGCAATGACAGTGGTGTGACGACTAGACCTTGAGTTTGGGTGGAGACTAGAGTTATAAGGTAAGTGAGCAACGACTAAGGTTACATAGACATGTGAGTGTGGGATAGGGTTACATATATGGGAGAGTGGTTACGTTAAGAGTTTCAATGCCTTGACCATCTTCTTCTTCATTTTATTTATTATATTTAGAGGTTTTAGCCACTGTTTCAAATGGGCAGCAATGTCATTGACCAGAGCATGACAATGTCTCTCGTTGCAAGTGGAGAAAAAATGTCACAAATGGTATGACACTGGTGCCACATGTCATTGGCCATGACATTGGGGTGTCATGGGCGGGGAGGGGGGGCACTGTCAAGTGTTAGTGTCACTGGTGAAGCTGTGTAAGTGATTCTTTCTTGCAATGTAATCTAAATATTAACTAAAAAATGCTTATGGAGTATACATGTCATATTAAGCATCTTTGGAGGTTACTCTTATTAATATGTTCTTCTTCTTTAAAAAGTAACTCTAAAATTTGTGGCTGTGTAAAAAATTAATTTGTTAAATGAATGATAATATTCAATGCTCATTTTCTAATTCATTAATCAACACAGTTTATTACGTAGTAATAAACAACTAGCTCTCTAAAAAACAATTATCCAAGAGTTGTTGCAGATATTCTTCTTGTAAATTTTTGAATTTTGCGCCACTCTTAACTTATGGGTTGGAACAACAACTTTTCTTCTTGGTGTAAATGGTGTTAGATGTCTGTTGATTTATGTTCAACGGACTTCATTAGATTCGAGAATGAGTTATCGCCTACGATGACTACTGCACTTAGGGGTTTGGCGATTGTTTCGGTTATGATGCCTCTTACAATGATGACGATGGCACCTACGTCAATGGCGGTGGCATTGACTTGGAATCACGATCCGCATCGCCGGATTCAGTGTTGATGATGACGTTGAAGTTGGATCGAGCTTGCAAAGAATGGGCGGTCAAACGTGAGTACCAACGAGATTTTAATCATTCATTCTGGTAAGTGATGAAACATGCCTGATGAAATCGACAAGAAAGCTAGGTTGGAAGACATAAGTTGCATCGTATGTGAGAAAATATTCGGTAAAAAATGGGAATGGGGCAGCTCTGTGTACTAAGTCCACTATTGGGTTTGATTGGCTCTAGGTTTTCTTTTTGAGAGTCAGACTTTAGCTTATTTTGAGTTTATTTTTTATTTATTTTGGTTTTTATTTTTATTTTTATTTAATTGTTGGTGACTTTGTGTGAGACTTTGATTATGTGTTTCATTTTTACTAGTTAAAATTTAGTTTCAGGATATATATGATAGTCGAATTGTATTATTTTTTGCGCTTGCAAGGGTGATACGTTTTACGTGTGTGATTATAGGACCGGTAAGATAGTGGTTTTTGTTAGGTCATTCTCAACTTATGTATTTGTCTTTACCATCAAATTATTTTCGCATATGTCATTTATAATACAAAAAGATTTTACAAAAATAATACAAATAATTTTTGCGCTTGCAAGGGTGATAAATTTTGTGTGTGATTATATGACCAGTAAGCTAGTGGTTTTTGTTAGGTCATTCTCAATTTATGTATTTGTCTTTACCATCAAATTATTTTAGTATATGTCATTTATAATACAAAAAGATTTTAAAAACAGTTTTCAACATTTTTTTACTGGGCAAGCACTTTGTGGTTCGATGACATCACCGTAACACTGCAAAAAAAGTCACACGGTCGAAACTCACCCCAATTCAAGGAGCTGATACTACAATAAAAGTGTGAGTTCATAAAAACAATCATTTTACCGGGTCAAGTATATCGTGGTTTGATGTACACTTTTAAAGACAATTTTACATGTTCGAAACTATCCCAATCAATATGTTAACGTTTAACAGAACAAATAATGTAGGGGTTATTTGAAATTAATTATGCTTCTGCTTCTATTTCTTTTTTAAAAGCAGAATGAGAATTCGCTTTCTAGAAGATGATCTCCCCGGACTAGTTGTAATCTTGGAGTGAAAAGAATAAAATTAATGTTTTCACCCCAAATTCTTGTAAAATCAGTGGTATAGGAAAGAGGGAAAGTGGATGACTAGAACTTAGGGTGAAGAATAACAACTCACTTTTCATTTCCAGGGGAGAGAAGAAAAAAGAAAAAGTAGGTTAAATGGTGCAACGAACAAAAAGTGGGAGATAGGTCCCATGTTAAATACTCTTTCCGTCTCGTAATTAAGTGCACAGTTTGACTTCACACAGATTAAGAAAATAAATTTGACTTTACTGTGGAGTGCACTGTTTTGCACTGTTTAAACACTGTTTGACACTGTTTGAACACTGTTTGACACTTTTTTGATGTAGATTATTTGCCAAATAAGGAAAGTTTTGAAGTGTGAAGTTAATTTTAGGACTGCCCGAAAAAGAAAGTGAGAAGTTAATTTTGGGACGGAGAGAGTAAAAATCTTTATTTTATTTAAACTCAGACGAAGTATAACTTTTTATTTGTATTTTTACTTTTACAAAAAATATAGTCCTTATTAAAATTCATAATTTTTTATTACCTTTCATATGACATTAATATTGGCTATTTAATTTCTTTTAAAAAATTGATGAGTGAATATATTGACGATATTGGACACGAAAATATTGGATTGATGTACTGAATACACCAAATTGATACAAACCTGGTTGGGAAGGTTGCGGATAGTCTCAACTTCTACAAAAACTCCTCATAGAAGCAATTTATAGCATCCAAGACCCTCTATACACTACAATCTGCAGCCTACGGGCACTTCGGAAAAATTAAAGTGGAATTGGCACAGGGATACCTTCACCCTGGCCGGTAACAAGTGAAAATCCATCGTGGAGATAAATATATGAAGGAGGTCTCTTATTTATACATTGGGATTATTGAATCCGGTAATGATAGTTGATTCCCCGGCTGCCTTAAAGCGAAGGAGGTTCAGTATTGTCGATCCCATGGAAGCTGATTCTGCTAAGGTCGTCTTATACTCAACTCCTTCATTCATTTGTTTTCCTGCGATTTTATTCCCTCTTGTTTGATAATTGATATCATGTCTAGTTTCTTCACTTTCTTAATAAGCTAATGCCTGATCCCCAATTCCTTCTCGATCCATCAAATCATGATAAACATTCTTTAGAGTCTTGATGCTCTATGTCCATGAATTTATCGACGTTGCTAATTGCTATTGATATGCCACCCCATCGATATATGGCATCTATAACTTGAAAGTTGAAAGAAGTAGACATCTCCCCTAACTACGAGAAAGGGTTTCTTAACCTCTCCACTGTGCTTATGGACTAGTTGGGGTCCGTTTGGAGCAGGAAAATAGGAAGGAGTAATGGAAGAAAAGAAAACATCAACTAAAGAATTGTTTCAAACGCAATTTGTCAAGTTTAGATATCTGTTCAAACTAATTTCTATTTTTATTTCTATTGAGTGAAGACCGCAAAATCTAAATATATTAAACGTTTAGAAAACTTAACTACTCATATTTTACCTTTATATTTCCATTCTAAAATCATAGTATCAAATACCCTTTTCCTAATAGTTCTTTTGGGAATTTGAAGGGGCCAGGGAAAGGAAGCCTGGTTTTTTTAAAGAAATTTGGAAAGAAAATATTGGGGGAAACAGACATCGGTTCTACTCAAATTCATTTTTTCAAATTTATTTCTATCATTTAATTGCTTAGAAATCTAAATGTACGCAATGCTAAAGACTCAAATCGTTTTTCATTTTCCTTTGCATTTCCGAGGTAAATCCATACATTAGAAAAAGCTTTGTTTAGCATTTTTTCCTTTCCCTAGCTTTTTCTCCGGGATCCAGACATAGTTCCAGTATATGGTTATCCTTTCCAGACATAGCCCTGAAGAATATAAATTGGAATTCATGGAGTGTAAAGAAAGAAAGGTTTTAACTTATAAGGGAATAAAGAGCTGAAGATTTAGTAGCCTTTTGACTGTTAATATACTCCTTATTCTCCCTTAGGTAAATGAATACTCTTCTTCAATATAATTGCTGAGTTGATATTGATGATTTGATACATCATTGATAGTTGCTTAAGGTTCCAACTGTTCATGTACCAATGCTATATTTCACATGAAGGCACCACACTCCCTTATGTTATATAGCTACTGATTTGATGCATCTCAAATCCAGGCGAAGCTTGCAGCTGCAAAGGAAAAACTTGGCCGTGAAATCCGCATCTTTCAAACAATAACCGAATCTGCAGCTTCAAGTGATATCTCTCAAGATGGTATTTCCTGCTTGGTTTAGAACAATTAATTACTATCATATCTCCATCTTGTCGACTCATGTTTGACAATCCACATCTCTTTTTTTAGGGCAACCTAGTGAAGAATCGGAGGACTACTATGAGTTTACAGCTGATGATTATTTTCGTCTAGTGGCAACAAAGAAGAAAGGTACTAAACACAATAACACCTAGTGATGTGTATGTGGTGAATGTGTATTAGCAATATGTGTAGATTTACATGTGTGCATGCCTTTATATGGTAGCTCGTACATGCTTTATGCTTATACTGTTCCATCTTTAACACTGGCACGAACAGACACATACTTGAAGACTCGGAAATTAAGAGAAGCAGAAGAAGCTGCACGCAGATCAAAATTAACCAAGGTGGTTTGTTTTGCAGTATTTTATAATTTCGGTGTCTATTTAGGCATTTACTGAATTTTTAGCACGGCAATGTTCACATGTTTTTTTTTAAATATCTATGCATTATTACATGCAGGCTGTAATCAGAGTGCGGTTTCCTGATAATGTCACGCTGGAGGCATCATTTCATTCATCAGAGACGATCCAGGACTTGGTTGACCTTCTTGTGAAAGCCGTTCTTAGACCAGATTTGCCTTTCTATTTATGTAAGCGCGTCTGAAAATCAAATTTCATAATTTAAAGACTGACCTGTCCTACTTAAATGAACTATCATTGAAATGTAAAAGGTTGCTTCTTCATTATTTGGACAGATACTACTCCTCCCAAGAAGCAGATAAAAGACATGTCCCAGGATTTTTACTCTGCTGGTTTTGTTCCTGGCGCAATTGTGTACTTCTCATATAACCTACCAAATGGTCAGTAAATGCTCAGCTAACATTTTGGCCTTCATTACCAATGTATCTTACTTTTGTGAGTTTCAGTTATAAAAAATTGTTATTTTCTTTGTTCTCCTTATTCAGTGAGAATTTTAATTTTCATATCATCATCATCATTACCCCAGTGCCGCAAAGGCTCCCACCTATGGTGGGGTAAGGGGGGGTTGGATGTACACAGTCTTACTCTTGTACTAAAGCACAGAGAGGCGGTTTCCGGATGACCCATAGTGAAAATCGCGTTCAAAATTGCATGAACTGAGTGAGACTGACCATTGCTTCATAACAAAGAAGCACAAACAGTTAAGTGAGCCATTTTGCTTTATTCCATCATATTCTCAAACTGAAAAATAGCGAGTCTTTGGCTCCATTGCAAATGATGGAAAAATTAAAGCTTTATTTAGCATAAGTTGGATGGCTAGATAAATAAAGAATAAATTCCATTTTTGGTCCTACAAGTTTTAGGTCAATTCCACATTTAGTCCACATCTTTCACTTTGTCCACTTTTGATACATGACTATTGTGTTTTCTCCCATATATGGTCCTTCCGGCATTGTTTCCGATGGTTAAAATCCTCGGAAAAGGACCACAAACGGTTAAAAACATTAGTCAAGTACCAAAAGCGGACAAAGTGAAAGACGTGGACTAAAGGTGGAATTGCCACAAAACTCTTAGGATCAAAAGTGGAATTAATTCATAAATAAAAGTATAAAACACAATGAAGTTTCTAATCCGGGCTTTAACAGCATTGGGTTGAGTTGGATACTTGGATGCGTTTTTTCAACAACTTGTCATATTTTGTCCTTGTTTTTCAAGCTTCCAGCCAATGCTTGTTTGATTATGCATAAGATAAATATCTAAGAACAAGTGAACAATGAATACCACCACCTTTCTATTCTTGTTATTTCTAATGCATGCAGCCAAGATTTGGCATGGAAGAAACACAAAGTTCTGTGAACTTGGAGAAATTTCTTATGTTCTATTACTACTTGGAGGAGAAAGGGAAATCTTCATAGTTTCTTATATTTTGATATTATGATTCTATTTATATGCAGCACTAAATTTTCTATAAAATGCAATTTAAATTTTCTATGAAATACTCCGTATAATCTAACTAGTATCTTAAACTGTTAATTTATGTTAATATTGTCTGACTATAATTTTGCACTCCTAAAAAAGCTAAGGGCCTGTTTACTAACAGAGATATTTTCCTGTTTTCTACTTCTGATTTTCGTTCTCCAATTTTCTGTTTTTATTTTTCAGTTTTTCCATCTCCAATTTTCTGTTTCTATTTTTTAGTTTTCCATTTTCAAATTTGAAAACATGTTCATCAATTTTTTCACATAGTTCTCCAATTCCACACCCTTGACCCCTACCTTTACCCTTACCACGATCTTACACTCTACCCATACTCCACCACAACCCTTCATACCCACCCATACCTACTCTTAGGGGTCGGGTAGGAAAGTTATGGGTGGGGGTGGGGTAAGGGGTATGGTCGGGGTGGGGTGGTAAGGTTTAGGGGTTGGGGTTGGGTGGGGGTAGTGGGGTGGGTTAGGGTCGTGGGTGGGGTAGTGGGTAGGGTTGGGGTAAGGTAGGGGTAGGGTAGGGAGTTGGGATAGGATGGCGGCAGGGTGGGGTCGGGACCAGGGGTGGGGCCGGGGTAGGGAAGGGGTAGGATGGCGGTAAGGGTGGGGGGTAGTGGGTGGGGTTTGGGGTTGGGGTTGGGGTAAGGTAGGGGTAGGGTAGGGAGTTGGGATAGGATGGTGGTAGGGTGGGGTCGGGACCAGGGTGGGGCTGGGGTAGGGAAGGGGTAGGATGGCGGTAAGGGTGGGAGTAGTGGGTAGGGTTTGGGGTTGGGGTAAGGTAGGGGTAGGGTAGGGACTTGGGATAGGATGGCGGTAGGGTGGGCCCGGGATCCGGGTGGGGCCGAGGTAGGGTAGGGTGGGGGGTGGGGGGTAGGATGGCGGTGGGGTGGGGCCGAGGTAGGAGGCATGTGGTAAGGGGTAAGGTAGGGGTAAGTGGTAATATACGAGGGGTGGGGGTAGGGTAGGGTGGGTCGGGGTGGGGTCGAGGTGGTAGGGGTGGCGGTAGGGTAGGGTGGATCGAGGTGGTAGGGGTGGCGGTAGGGTAGGGTGGACCGGGGGTGGGGCCGAGGTCGGGGCATGTGGTGGGGGGTGGGGTAAGGTCATTATAGGGAAAAATGGGTACGCGGGGTGGGGGTTGGGGTGGGTAGGTAGGGGTAAGGTACGAGGATGGAGGTACCGGAATGAAATCGACATCGGAGCGTGACCGGACCCACCACTAGGTGTAAGTATGCAAATTCATTGCAAAGGCACTGTAGCATCTGCGTTTTCCAAATTTGGAAAACTAGTAAAAGTCACTTCTCCAAATCATTAAGGAAAAGAGAGACATGTTTCATTTTTTCTGTTTTGGAAAACGATTTGGTAAACGCGTTTTTCTTTTTTCCTTTCTCCAGTTTCCCAGGAATTTCTTTGGTAAACACGTTTCCTGTTTTCTGTTTTCCAGTTTTCCAGTTTTCTGGAAAATTGGAAAATATTTCTGTTAGTAAACAGGCCCTAATTATCTACATAATCACTGAGTAGATGTAACATTTAATGACAGAGGTATATCATGCTTCCACCTTTTTGTTATCTAGGTGGTGATGAGGGTGCCCCTGGGCAGCACTACCTTCAAGAAGAGATAATGTCTTTGCAAAATTTGGAATCTTCTGCAATAACAAAGCAGGAGGATGAAGTGGTTCCCGAGCCGCAGCCTTCAGTAGCCATCAACGACCCCACTCCTTCCCAAGAGAAAAAACCTGCTGATAAAAAGAACATAAAGCCAAAGTGGTTAAAGATGTAATACAGATTTCAGGTAATTTAAACAAAGGCTGGCTTCCACCCTTGTGTATGTTTTGATTGATCATCTCTGTATGCGCTGTTTGATATGTTCTGATATTATCTATTATTATTGGTGTGTTGCAGCTATCAACAACAACAGCAGCAGCAGCAACAACATATCTTTGCCAATTTAAAAGCACCCATCTCTCTCCTTGTAACTGATGTCGGTGAAAAAAGCAACAGATCTTTTCCATTAGTGTGCTGGATAGATGGATATATGTGTTATCATGTTTTTCTCTAGTCTATCTTTCATTTCGTGGCGGTATCTAACTTGCATTGGTCTGTGCTTGTGCTATTTCCCTTTGGTTATTCTACGTTTGGTTGCCTGCGTTGGTTCACCATGAGTCAGGAGTCCCTCGGAGAGAACACCTCCCATAATAAAATGGTGAGGTGACGTGTGACACTGCGTGCTGGCCTTTTTGGATTCATTTTTTTTCAGATTCGATTTCTCGCAACTACGCTACCTGTAACAGTGTGCTGCTATGGGCAGCCTATTTAAGTGCTAAAAAGGGCTCACGGAGAGGGTAGTAGGTTATTGATCATCGACAAAGTCAAGTACCTTACTGGCTTAATACATGCCCTACAAGTTCTTCATAAGTATCAAACAGATGATTTGCATCTCTAATAAACATATCTACCCAATCAAAGTAGGAAATTACCCAGGAATAGGAGTACTACTAAATACTAATCTGTAGACTAGCGTGCACTAAAGCAATAGATGTAGTATTGCTATTGTAAAGTACAATAATACTACGTATTTTAGATTCTAGAATTTAGATAATTATTGTTGGAGTATATTCTTAATTTCTTATCACTTTGCAGACTTATACCACCGCAGCTTATTAACGAAGTATACTGATTTGTTACTCCTATAATCCTATTGTTTTTTGGTAGTCAATGATAGAATGACAATCAATTTGAGGTAAGGGTCAGATTGATGAATTCAGAGCCTCCTATATAAGGACTTATTTGACCCTTTTTATGCAACTTCGAGTACCAATCTGACCCTTACCTCCAATCAATTTTGATCAATGATATTTTTTTAAACGAAATTATTTTGAATATGAAAATTACATCAAAACGTTTCTTATTCAAAAGATTTTGTATAAAATTTATAAATTATATACGAATATAATAATTAAAATTATTATTCAAAGGTGTCATCATTGATCAAGAAATATCAATATGACACATCTGTTCGGAATGAATTATTCCCTAGTATTTTATATGAGTAATACATAACCATAATCATCAATCATCATTATGCAAAAATTTTACGGAGTATGGAGTACATAAAAAAAACTTATGAATATATACAATTGGTGAGTCTAGGCTAGGGGTGGACTCGGGCCGGGCGGCCCGACCCGGAACCGGCCCGGCCCGGTTACTGTTTGGACCGGCCCGGCCTGGCCCGGCCCGGGGCCCGGTGGGTCCATCGGTTCGGTTTGGCCCGGCCCGGGTGATGGGCGGTCCGGGCTCGGGCCCTGCTTTAGGTGAACCGGCCCGGCCGGTTCGGGCCCGGTCCGGGCCGGATTTTAATTTTTTTTTTGTTTTGAAATTTTTTTAAGTTTTGGATTGGATTAGGTATTTTGGGCCATTTGAGGTGGTTTGGGGTGGTTTGGGGTTGAGAGGGAGGGGTAGGGGGTTAAATAGGAGAACCAAAATAAAAAAAAATAAAAAAATAGACCGGTTGGAACTGGCCCGGCCCGGTTTGGCCCGGAACCGGCCACCGGCGGTTCGGGCTCGGGCCCCAGTTTTCTGGCCCGAGGCCCGGCCGGGCCCAGGCCCGAACCGGGCCCGAACCGGCCTGAGTCCAACCCTAGTCTAGGCTCTTGTTCATGTGGTCAAGTAAACTTTCTCTTAGGATGTTTTTACTTGGACTGTAATTTGCCCCAGACCAGACCAGACCAGTTTAGACCAGACCAGACCAGACTTGGATAGTTATAAAAATACAAAGAAACCAGACCTTAACAGACCAGACCAGACCAGACCAACAAATTACAGTCCAAGTAAAAACATCCTTAATCTCGGAATTTATATATCAATTTTTCATTTTCGAATTCTACTTTTTTTATTTATCTTACATGTTTTGTAATTTTCGACAAAAAACATGTTTTGTAGTTTATGAATATATACAAATATACAATTGGTGAGTCTAGGCTCTTGTTCATTTTATTACTCCCCTTTTCCAAATGATTTGCATCAACTTTTTTTTTAATCAAACTTTTTTCGTCAATACAATTTAACTTTATATACTTATTTAGCACATCAACATTTTATTATATTTTAATTTGGACTTTGTTACTTTATAGAACATCTATACCATACACTTTCCGAATATGTAAGTTTTAATTGTTGAAAGTTACAACTAACAAACTATTAGCAGTGATGATTTAACTTTCTCATCAAACCATTAAGAGGCCGTTTGACAACACTGTTTTTCGGCTTATCAGCCAACTTTTTCACCAAACACGTAATTTTTCCTTGCGCACACTGAATTGTGTAATAAGCATAAAAAATAAGGTAGTTACTTTTCTGGCTGTATTGGCTGAAGTTATTGTAGATGACTATTTTAGCTATTTTACATATAATTTTTCTGTATTTTATTAATAAAATATATTTTAAAAATAATTTTTTACTTAAATCAGCTGAATCGGTCAATGCAACCACTTCAGTCAGAACTTCATAAATTTCAGCAAAACCAGCCAAAACAGTCGATTTTGGTGCTACCAAACAGGCTCTGAAATTCACAAATTATAATTCAATCCGGGACGGAGGAAACATTAGTTATTATCATATACTCCGTACGTAGTATCCTTTCTAAATTTAAAGTACTATAAAAATGGATAAAACTCCGTAATACTCCGTACGTAGTAGTGTAGATTCTCAAAAAAAAATACGTAGTCGTGTAGTACTCGTATACGTTGACTTTTTGAACTGTTGATTTTTTTATTTTTTTAACACATACTCCATATAAATCAGACCCAGGCTAAGCAAATACTGGATCTGCCATTCTGCCCTTCATCGCAAGTTCGTAACATGATCTTCTTTAGGGAACACGGATAGTATATATTTAGAAACAAGTGTAAAAGCATGTTTATTTAGGACTTAATGGACTTCATGAGATGGATGACTTAATCATTCAATCATTAAGTTGTGTTTATTTAGGACTTGACGAGAAACATCACTTATTCGCTCAGTTCAAAACTGACTTATTGGTTCAGCGCAAAAACAAGACTCCTTCCGATTTCGAAGTTATCGGAAGGAGTCCTGTTTTTGCGCTGAACCAATAAGTCAGTTTATATACACTAGAGCAACTATCTTCATCTCCTCTATCACATCATCATCATCATCAAAGTATAATCTCATGAATTCATATTTTTACATTTTCATTTGGTATGAGTTCTGGAATTTATCTCATGATTTGTATGACTTCGAATATAAGTTTCTTTGTCTAGACATGAATTTATTCTAGGTAATTCTGCACAATTGGGCACTATTTTTGCATCTTCGGAAAATGTTTTCGGCAAAAAGCAACACTTTGTTCCTGAATATTTCGGCAGGTTGTATTTGGGATTATTTTAGCATTTTCTGCATATTTGGGTGCCCATCTTTGCATTTCATCATAGTATAATAATTTTTCGTTAATTATTCCAAATTATGTTACAAAATAAGAAAAGTGAATCGACGATTAACGTTCTTCACTTAATGAAATAACGTTCTGCACACAAAGGGTAAATTGGTTATTTGACATTACTCAGACTTCTCATTCAGCACACAAAGTAAACAGTCTGTTATCACACTGTCACTTAATCCATATAGACATCTTAATCTAGACAGACATCTTAATCCAGATAGGACTTAATGAAATAAAAAGTAAATAACCCCTAAGAGCATCTCCAATGCTACAATGTGCACGGTGCACATGTGGCATGAGAGAGATAGACACAAAAATTGAATTTATGACAATTCTCTCTCATTCTTTCCACAGTTTTATGTGTTTTTGGTAAGTTTTCCTCTGCAATGTCAAGCACATTGTCTACATCTAGACATTGTGCTTGACATTGTGAAGAAAAACTTACCAAAATGATACAAGATGCTTCAAATAAGGAGAGAGATATTCTATTTATTATTTTTTAATTGACTTTCTCTCATGACACATATGCACCGTTCACGTTTTAGCATTGAGGATGCTCTAAGAGTCATTTGGTAACGGTGAAATTTGTTGAATCTACTCAAAATGTTGAAATTGTGATTGAAATGACTGAATTGGTTGATTGGATTTGCTGAATTATGAAAAAGAATTCCTTAATATAAACAAAAATATGAAAAATAACTAAAATGATCATCTATAACACATCAAGTCAACACAATCAAAATGTAACTTCAACTGTAATTATTTTAATTATTACACAACTTAGCACATAATCAAAAGTTACGTATTTGATAAAATAATTGATTGATAAGACTAATAAGTTGAAAATATAAGCATAAAAACCAAATAATGAGATCTGAAAAACTGGTAAAAACCAATATATTTCAAATTAGAGCATAAAAAATATTTCATTGGTCAAGAATAGTACTACCTCCGTCCCGCTAAGATCTTCCTAGTTTGACCTTCACACATATTAAGAAAATAAACTTACCATGGAGTAAAATTTACAATTTTGACACCGTTTTGACACTATTTGGAACCGTTTGACACTGCTTTGCGCTGTTTGACACTATTTGGAACCGTTTGACCCAAAAGAAATCAGAAAGATCTTATTGGGACGGAGGAAGTAAATTAGAGTTGATCAGTGCAAGCAATTACTCGGTATTTAGGGGCAAACTATGTGATGTAGTATGGATCATTAAAGTGAGAAAGGAAAGTGGGTAGGTGGATCATGTCACATTGATCACTGCAGGTACTGTGTATTGTACCGTCGAAATGGGTAGTTTGTTCACATTTAACGGCCTTTACTGCTTGTTTGGTAGGCTTTTCTTTCGTCTTATGTTTGTGCTTTATTCATATAAATCCGTTTATCCAACGTTAAGAGAGTGTTTGCTACCACTTAAAAAAACACTTCTCAGTTTTTGGCTTAAAAAATAGTAAACACTTTTTTATCAAACACTACCAATTTTTACTTTTTCTCGGCTTGCGTGTGAAAAGTGCTTTCACCTTTTTTTATTACACAAAAAACACTTATTTTTACCGAATACTACCAACTTTTACTTTTCAAAATCACTTTTTTCTCAAACACTATCAACTTTTACTACTAATCACTTTTTCCTTACATCTCCAAAAATGCTTTTTTTTTTAAAAAAAAAGCAGTTGCAAGCACTCCCTAATTGAAATAGCGATAAATATACTCCATAGAAAATGTTAAACATTACTTGTAAAATGAAACACTCATGCATTAAAATGAAATAATTACCATGTACCAAGTATGTAAAGTTCATTCAATCCAAATAGAAAATTCAAAGAATGCTTCATTTTTCCTAAAATATTATTAATAAAATAGTGAATACCTAGAATACAATTATAATCACAAAAAGTTACTAAATCATATTATTTCGTAGCATTTTTTATCCACTATTTTTACAGGAGTAGTAGTGTTTTTTTTATTTTTACAAAAATCAATTACGGAGTATTTTATTTTGTTAACCGATTCTCTGAAAGTAATAAGGATGAAAGTAATAAGGATGATTGGATATCAGAACAAAAATCTGCACGGGTAGCTCGATTGGTTGAATGGTGAGAAAGTTGGAAGAACGACTGAGGATCGAAACCCGTAGCGAACGTGTGGAGGTTACAACTCTCGTGTGCTTGGCTGAACTTCTGATGCTCACAGGTACAAAGTCTACCACGATTGGGCCTACTGAGTCTCT